GGTGGACGTCATCCTTTCACGTCAGGCACCAAGTGTCGCTGCAGCTGCATTAACACTTCTGCTTTATACTTTGTTGTTGTTGTTGTTGAGATTCTGTCTTATTTCATGCTTTCTGTGGTCTTGTATGGCCTTGTTAACACCTGGTTTCGCTTCAGGCATGAATTTTACAATGTCTAGTAATTTCTGAGGTTTTTGTGCACAGTGGAAGTGGGTGGGTAGCAGGGACGAAAGCAGCTTGCCAGAAAACACCGTGTCTAACTGATGGCTCTACTTCTCTTAGTCAAGAAGTAACGCTTCAGAAATCTCGGGACAACTGCCTACGAAAGACAGAATTTCCCCAGGAGAAGCAGCGTCTGGTTTGAAAACTGTCCTGCGGGACTCTGCTGGCCCTGATACCAGGTTTCAGATGGAAGAAAGACCAACAAGCACTTGCTCTCCTTCCAGCACGGTGGTAGATGCAGTGAAAACGATGCAGTGCTTCATGGAGAAGTCTGGCAGGGACCTGCTCATGGTCACACAGGCCTTTCTGAAAAACAGCGGTGAAGCAGAGGCTACTTTGCACTTCCTGCAGACAGGGCGGCGCCGGGATGGGTACCCTGTGTGGAGCAGAGAGGATGACTTGGAACTGCAAAAAGATGATGAGTGTGTCAGAAATAAATTGATAGCAAAATTTGGAGCTGAAAACGTAGCAAAGCGGATAGCATTTAGGCAGAGTTAGATGGCGAAGCAGAGGGGAATGACTGGTGTAGGACTGTGGCAGGAACTTAAAATACCCAGTCATTTCTGATACACAAATACAATAGAAAATTTGATGCAGCATTCTGAAGTTTCAGAAATGCTTTAAATTTTATTTTTCCATAAAAGGCCGATTTTGTATTTTTTAATACCAACTATACTAAACATTTTAAAGTAGAAAATGGTGAAGATAAGGGCTCTATACAGTATCAAGTTTTTTTAATTTAAAAGGGTGTATGTGCTATATGAATGAATTGACAGTCCCGCCTGTACATTGCTGTGCATGCAAAGGATTTTGAATAGGGTTGTCACCAAAGTCTGACAGTCACATTTAAATGCTCTAACCTGTAATGCATTAGCAGTGCGCAACAGCATCCTGCTCTCTGTCAAGTGTCTTACTTCAGACTGCTGTGGATGGTTATTGAATAACCTGGTCTGCCAGTTGTTGTCAGTACTTTTTGTTGTTAATAAACCTTGATTAGGAGCAGACATTTGGAGATAGTAACAATGAAAATGTAACTGTTCAAAAGAGGGATCAAGAACGTTGATGTCAGAAGATGATGCTCTTGGTCTCATACATCAGTGCTGAGATGTCTTAGAGTGGTCCTGTGTACTGGGAGTGGCCAGAAAGGTCCCTGTGACGTTAAAATACTCGGACTCACATTACAGAGATATGACAGTTAAAACCTCAGGCTGGTCTCAGTTTTTATTAACGCTTCCAGCATGTGTTCTCCTATGCTAATATTGCAGGGTTTGATTAATAACATCAACTTTACCATCTTGCTTCATGATTTCAAGAACATGGGCTCTGAGACTCCCAGGAGAACAACTACTACTGGTTTTGGAAGCTAGCAAACAGAATTATTTCAGCTAAAAAATAAATGGATTCACATAGTCCCAGATACGGATCCCCATATGCGAACTCAGAAGTTTTTATTTTCAACTATAGCTGGTTTATTTCATTTTCCAATTACACAGTAAGCGAGCACAAACATTTCTCCAACATTGCCACCAAGGCTGGATACCCAGGCACAGGAATGAGCAATAGAAAACTGGGCTTGAAAACTCAACTATCCCCAAAAAAAGGTTCATTCTAGAAACCAGCGTCTGGTCATCCTTGCGTCTCTTCTGGCATTGCATGTCACACATGGCAGCATGACAAATGATGCTTTCTTTATGCAGCTTCCATGTATATCTCTTCTTCCTTTGCAGTACAATTGCCCTGTGTGGTTTCATCCATTTAGCTGTGGTCCATGAGGGTTTTGAGCTCTGCTGTCTGGTCCCACTTCTTTGGCACTGTTTGCTCCAACCTACACGTACTTCCTCTTTTGCATAAACCATGGATTTAATTTGCAAAACAGAGTTGCATTACTTCATCCTCTGTTTACCTGGGGGTGCTGATTGATGGAGCTGAGCACGAGCAGCCTGTGCCCAGGCAGCCAAGAAGCCCCCAGCATCCTGGCCTGTATCAGCACCAGTGTGGCAGCAGGACCAGGGCAGGGACTGGCCCCCCGCACTGGGCACTGGTGAGGCTGCACCTTGAGCAGTGTGCTCAGTTCTGTGCCCCTCACTGCAAGAGAGACATTGAGGTGCTGGAGGGGCCAGAGAAGGGCACCAGAGCTGGTGCAGGGCCTGGAGCACAAGCGTGATGGGGAAGGGCTGAGGGACCTGGGGGTTTAGTGTGGAGAAGTGAAAGCCCAGGGGGGACCTTATTGCTCTCTACAACTGCCTGACAGGAGGATGGAGCCAGGAGGGGGCTGGTCTCTGCTCCCAATGAACAAGGGATGGGACAAGAGGAAACGGCCTCAAGCTGCACCAGGGCAGGTTTAGGTGGAGCTGAGGAACAATTCCTTGCCCAGAGGGTGCTCAGGCATTGGAACAGGCTGCCCAGGGCAGTGCTGGAGTCACCATCCCTGCAAGTGTTCACAGCCCGTGTAGCCAAGGCCACAGTGCCAGGGGTCAGTGGTGGCCTTGGCAGTGCTGGGGAATGGTTGGACTTGATGAGCTTAAAGGTCTTTTCAAACCTTGTTGATTCTATGATGCTGTGGTTGTGGCTGAGCTTCCAGAGCTTTGCAGAGCAACGTGTGCTGCTGTGGAAGATGTCACGAGTGCAGCTGCGGTTTCTGCGTTGCTTATCCTTGCATAGCGTATCCATGTGTGCACTCTAAACACATGCACATACCTCTGTCGTTTTTTGCCTTAGCAAGCACTTAGCTTTCTAATCTGCAGCCTTCAGAGAGTAGGTGCAGAGAGCAGCTTTTCTGCCTTCAGAATTTGTTACTTAGAGGAGTTATGGTCAAACAAAAGATCCAGTGACATATTTTTTTGCTGCTCTTCAGACTGGATGAGCTGGTAGCCCAGCAGGTCCATTGCATCCTTGCATACCCTTTGCACTTTTTCTATTTTCTGGAAGGGAAGGGTCTTCCTCCAGGCCTGAGATACCTTCAGTGCATCTCTGGAGCCAATATCAAAGGCCTGTCCTCCATGCCCCTTCCCATGGGTGATGTTGTGCACCCACTTCTGAAGTTCTGGTGTAAAATGGAGTTCTGCAAACCTGTACATCTGGGCAGTCCTTGCTAGTGGGTCTCGGACGATGTCTTCATAGCGAACCAGCAGGTAGCGGTCCTTCAAGAAGCTGGGGACAGCCCGGCTGCCGGCCTTGTAAATCTCAACATGGCTTTTGCAGATTACTTGCATGGTGTTGTAAGGTCCCATTTCTCCCTTTGTCCTCTCAGACCCCACAACAATGTTACTGTCACGTTTCAGGTCTGCCACTGTATTCTCTCGTGACCTGAATACAGCCCGGGGATCACGGACCAAGTGAATGATCTTGAGGTTCAGGGATGGATCAGTGAGAAGTGGGTAGAGAACTTTCAGGTCAAAGAACCGAACCTCCTTGATGACAACATGGCTGTAGGTTTTACAGGCTTCCTCCACCTTGCTGAATGGGGACTTGGCACAGATTGTTCTGCAATTGCCTGCAGCAATTATGTCAGTGCGACTGAATAAGTCACAGGCTGGGGGGGAGCACAAGGCTCGGCTTGTCTCCCACTGAAATAAATCAGACTTTTTCTTCTGGCTAGACATGTAAGCATCAAACACAGACATGTCACACAGAAAGACCGACCTGACGAGGTCCCGCACTGCCATGTGCAAGACCTTGGCACTGTTCTGGTACATTGTAACCCACACGTGCCATGCAGGCTCCATCAGGTAGAAGACACTGGGGTGCTGGCTGAAAAGTTGACCAACAAAAGAAGATCCTGACCGCCAGGAGGAGAGAATGAGGATGTGGACTGAAGACGGTTTTCTTTCCGCAGGGACATTGTTGCTGCAGGGTTGGGAGTGGAAGTGGATCAGAAAGAAGGTCAGAACTGCCAGAATCAGGAGCACCTGCACCCTTCTAGGCTTCATCATGGTTGCAGGGGACCTGCAGAGACAGAGGCAGTTCAGCATCACAGGATCACGAAGAAGGCAGTAAGTGGTACATTAGACTCCTCTGAATCCCTCTGGAGTCTCAGGGTTTTGGAAAGCTGCCGCATTACCAGTGGTGGTATGACAACCACAGCAAAAAGTACTCTCAGAAAGAACATAAATACTGCAGGATGGAAAGTTTTCAGTAACAAATCCACTGTTTGTTAGCAAGTCATTCTAATGCTGTCTTAGAAGATCACTGAAAAGCTTGTCTGCACTTCTATTAAAGCTTAAGAGCTAGTTAAGTGTATTGAAATAAGTCGGTACACGCAAATATGTACGTAGTGTACACAATTCCTGCAGACATGATCCCTGCAATTTTTATGTAGGAAAGATGGAAAAAACTATTTTTCTTTCTTTTTTTTTCTGGTTTTTTTTTTTTTTCTTGTCGAGAATTCAGCAGTTCCACACTGTTACTTTTAAGCTCCTGCTCTGACCACTGTTCACAATTGGTTTTGTGCCGGAGTGCTGTACAAATACAATGTATGTTTCCATTTCTTTTGCTTATATTCTTTTTGGAATTTCAGGGAACTTTTTTTGTCGTGACAGGAAAAACTCACATACCAAAGGAAGTCATTTGGCACTAATAAATCCAAGCACAACAATATCTCTTTCACAATCACAGCATCACAGAGAATTTTGGTAGGAAGTCATGAGAGTTTCTCATCCATCTTTATGAGGTGGGCTTACCTACAGCCAATACCTTTCTTAGCCTAACTCCTTTCTAGAGGCTGTCTTCTGCTACTCTTTCCTCCAACCCCACTCATGCTGTACGTCTTCTATGAGAAGAGGTACAAAAGAATGTGTTAGTCCGACTCAAAGGTCTGCCAAAAGCTGGCTCCTTGTTTCTTCCGCTAAACCTCTATTCTGCCTGTTGTGGATGACTTCGTTATTGGAAAATGCTGTAGTGCTCCCTGTCACCACACAGCTTGGTGTGCTCCCCGTCACCACACAGCTTGGTGTGCTCCCCTGTCACCACATGCCAGGCTGGCACGTTAGCTGTGCTGTAGTGGAGACAGGTCTCTCTGGACACTACAACTGCTTTACATTTCCCAAGGTGAACTAAACTTAAAACACTTGCTGGCTTTCAGCCATGGTCAGTCAGACAGGATAGAGAGAGCAGGGTCCTCAGGCTGCAGCGCAAGCTGGGAGTCCTGGACAGGGCAGCACTAGAGCACAGGTCCTCAGAGCTTTGTACACAGCTTTTGTGCAGCCCGTGACTGCACAGAGCTTGGGCAGCCATGGCCATGCAGAGCAGCTGCCTCCCTCAAAAGCAGCAGAGGTACAAAGTGTGCCCTGCTTCCCTGCTGTGTGCTTACCAAGTTATCTTCTAGGTCCATGGTAATGCTTGAATGTTCCCAGTCAAAATTTCCCTGACTTCCTCCTTAAGCCCTGCCTCAGTTTCCTTCTTCAGTGAAACTTTCCGACTAGCCTGCATGATTTTAGTTCCTCTAGCAATGATGTTGAGATTTCCAGGTACAGTCACTGCTACTAACCGACTAGGAACAGCACTCATCTTTCCCTGCAGCATACATGCAGAAATTGGCTTGTTATCTAATCTGTGCATTCATTTTGAATTTAGGATTTATAAAACACCAATTCTAATTGCTCAGAGCCAGGACAATACCCAGCCCAATGTGTAAGCCTGGTTGTTACCACTAAGTCCTACAACAATATGAATTTTATTTTAGTAATGTCTTGCAAGGATGGGTCTGCGCATGTAGTGAGGAACCACTTACTTCTGGTCTCCTGGACAAGAAGCCTACTGATGTTTTTTGGTTATACAAGTAGATTGTAGCGTTCAGGTCTGAGAAGAAGCTGATTCAGGTCAATCTTTGGGCCAAGCCTAGGAAGAGCTGCAAGAAAAGAAAGACTGTTGTAAAAGCAAGTCATATATCATCTTCCTCCTTGCAAATGAATACAGCAGTGTTTACCAAAAGTCCTGGCTTTGACAATATCACTTCCATCTGGTATCATTAATACTGTTACTCTAACTCCCAACAGAGTTCCTGGATTAAAGCCAGAAGCTCTTAACTGGGAAAAACTCTGTTAGCAGACACAAACACTGGCATTAAGAAACCCAGTCAGATTTTAAACCACATAAATCATTTCTCTTGAAACCTGTGTGAATAGTCTGAGTATGAGCCAAAGAGAATAGATGCATGTTTCTTGGGAAGCAAGAGCGTGCTTTTATCTTGAACCAGGGTGGGACAATGGGATGTTTTAGACATTTCACAGAGCATGCAGACCATCCCTGTGACTGCTCTTGGTAGAAATGTCCTCACATGAGGCCACAGCCTCAACAGCTTCTCCACTCTTACACAGGTAGTGATGACTGTTGCCCTGACCAACAGGGGAGTCTGTCCCAGAAGGAGAGGAGAAGGACTGAAATGAGTTGTGTGTGCCTGGTGAAATGGAACAGAGGAGCCGCAAAGAGCAGCAGAGGTTCTATCAAATGTTTCCTAATATGAAAGAAATACTAACTAGATAACCTTACTTTCACCACTGTATCTCTCAACTGTGGTGGATGGGAAGTTTATAAATTAAGGTCTTACACTTAACCACATTTTCCCTATAGCAAACATTCAGAGTCACAGGTGATTCAGTTCATTTTGTATTGAAAAAGTGAAATATGAAGCCCTCACAAAGCTGCAGAGCAAAGATCATCCCAGAATGACTGAGACAGTCTCAGCTGCAGAACAAGAAACCGCACACTGTTACTGTCTGCTGGCAGAGAGATGAGCCAGGATTTGGCTGAGAGCAAAAGAACAGGAAAAATCTCAGTGCACTAAGGATGAAGAGCAGAAACTAATGAAAAATACAACAATCCAGAGTCTCCCACAGCATATGTATATGAGAACGCAAAGAACTGGGATCTGCCTGACTGAGCAGCGTGAGTCTCCTGAACAATGAACAGTGTTAAGCTTTTCCAGAAACACAGAGGAGCCTTGGAAATGCTTGATCCTGGCAAAGAAAGAGCATTAGAGAAAGCAGCAAGCAGCCTCAGGGAGATATACCTACCAAACACACTCTGAACATGGGCAGCAAGTCCCCAGGGTACAGGTCTGTTGAACAGGCATGTGACAGTACAGCCCCAAGTACCTTGTGTTATGCAGCCTGTGGCTGAGTGCTCTGCAGGTCTGGGGAGCTCTCCAGACCTGTACAGAGCCCTCGCTGCTGTAGTGGCAGCGGTGTAGGAAAGAGATCTGGTGCCAGAGAAGCCCCAGACACTGGTCTTTAATGGCACTGACAGTTGCTCATAGCTTTGCCAAATCCTTCTTCAGTTTGGCCAGACCAGCTTCTGCTGTAGAAGTAGCATCTGCCCATTCAGAGGAGAATGATGGCATGACTGTGGGAAATGCTGAGAAGGGTCCCTGAGAAGACAGCCTAGAGAACCAGGAACTACCCTGTAAGGTAGACTAACAGCTTGTGTCTGCAGGAGGACTTTTGTAGCAATTTACTGGCATCCATATGTTTACAGTATTATCCAAAAATTATCTCCCAGTTCAGGCTGAGCATGAGCAGTGAATGCAGTCCTGGGCACCAAAGTGTTCACACCAGAGACCAAGAAATGGTTGAAAATCTCACCTTAATACGTCCTCTTGAGGTACCACCACACCTGGTTCAGGCAAGGCTGCCCTCATGCACGTACACTGCTGTTGTACACGCTCCTGCAGGCAGCCACGCAAACAGCCCTGCACTCATGTACTGGCACCTGCCTTCGTGCCAGGCTCATACACACATGTACGCAGCTCTTACCTATAACTGTGCCTCCTCTCTCCTGTTCCCCTCATTTGTGTATGTCCCAGCCCTAGGACTGACTACTCTACAGTGCCCGCCTACTTTGACCAGCCTTGGGCTGGAAAACTCCACCCTGCACTAAGCACAAAGCATAGGAATGGCAGGTGCTTGCAGAAGCACAAGTGACTGAACACAGCTACTAAAGAGAAGGGCCAGGAAATTCATGAAAGAGACTGATAGGTGCTTGTATTTTAAGTTCCACTGCAAGCCCCCAAAAGACTGCTCTCCATAAAAGCAGGAACAGGAATGTCTGTGGAGTGTCAAAGGGCAAACAGGAACCCCTGTTACAAGGAGGACCAGTTTGCCCACCAGTAGTAGGGAGATAGGGCATATTTGCCTGCTGTTGCTCTGACTGCCTGCCACATTGCCAGCAGATGTAGATTGACATAATGTCTTTTTAAGTCTTTTCTATCTGTGCCTTGCTCGAGTTAAGTATTTTGGGGCTGGGAAAGAAAGCTGTTTGAAAGAAGCTGTGAATGAAGCAGCTGGGCATGGCATCTGCATGGTTCTGAGGGGTGCTGGAGCTGAGTAGGGCTGTGAAGCAGGGCAGTGCTGGGCCCAGAGAAACACGTGGTATTCTGTGGCCATGCAGAGAGAGTCACTTTGGGTCATTCCTACTCCAGGTCTCGCATTTCTGTCACAAGAGAAGGTGTAGACCTTCTCTTGATGGTGGCCCCTGTCCCCAAGGAACTCACTGAGCTCCTCTGAGGGAAAGCAGAGTACATGAGACAAAAGAAGCAAAAAATCTGAGCAAGACTGTTCCTTCCAGTAGGAGGGACAACCTGAATGGGACAGGTCATGTTGCCTTTCACTTGCTGCATTGCAAACACAGATGGTCAAGCCCTAGTAATTCTGGGCTAGGAAGCAAGGAGAGAAACTGGCAGTGGTACAGGCAGCAGAGTGCAGAGACAACTGTGCCATTTTCTGTGCAACTTGGTTTTTGACTACGTGTTCCTATGCCTTGCACTGACACCGTTTGTAGGAAGGATTTAGCTGTAGGTCATTAAGTGTACAAAGCTGGTTCGTATCACTACTTGAGTGGCTCTTCCTGGAGCTTTATTGCTCCCTGACCAACAATTGCACGAACAGAGATATATCAAAACTCCTGTTCCACCTCTATGTAGCTTGCCCAAACCATTCTG